CATCGATGCTAGGACAGCAAAGACGCGAGGCGGCAACGTTTTCCATTACGGCCTTCCGTTTCACTCTATTAATAGACGGATACAAAGACGGGCTGGATTCGGATGCGGATTCGCGGAAATTCTCGGAAATTTCGTGGACATTTAGAGCAATTAAGTATTGATTGATTTATGTGTTGCTCGCTCCTTTTTTTCTCTCATGACATGAAAACATTAATTACCAATTATGTGCGGTACATCAATCAAAACTAAAACTCAAAGTTCAAACTAAATGTCACTAATAAATATTTTACTATAGTTTTGCTTTGATATTCTTTGAGTTAATGCTGATTGACGTTAATCAATATAGCTATTCTGGATTTCTACAATTGGAGTGTAGAAATCTAGCTTGTAATGTGTGGATGTGGGTTGTGTGTGGTCTTTTTGTTACTTTTTTGTTTTTTCTTCGTCTACGACGCGTGGGAGAGTCCTAGAAAGAAAGTAAACAATGATTATTACTTTGGAACGTAATAACAGTTGGATTTTTAATTGCGCCGGCATATTGTGCGCAAGCTGTCGTTGTAGGCGACGTAGGTCCTTGCGAAGCTCCAAACGGCAGACGCAGGACGACTGTTTTACCAAGGAAAACACACACGAAAGTAATAACCGCACGATTATACAGGTTAAGCAAAATTGTCTCACGATAACAATCAACTAAATTATTCCCAATAAAATTATAGAAATATATAGTGATTTGCAATCAAATAATCGACTTGAAAATATGATTTTGTTTGTTTGTGATACATTCACGTCAAATCCAGTGAACTAATTTTGATAAATTTTATTATCGAGATATTTTTGACATTGGAAAAGCAAATAAGCTACTTTTTATAGTAAAAATTGAACTGGAAGGGTGAAAAATAAAGGATTAAAGTTGTTAATGAGATTCTATCATAGATATAGTTATTTCATTCAATCCATAGATGGCGTTATAGTCTTCTTATTAGCATTTTTCATGGTTTTAAATTAAAATTAAGAATTTTATTGACGAAGTAGGCATATTATTGATCTAGGAATTAATTAGACTACTTATTATTAAAATTTAAACGCATAAAGTCGCGTGCAATACAAAAAAATGATTTCTTCCAAAAATATTTCGTGATAAATTGTTCTTCGTTTAAATTGTCGCTGAAACCACACACAGTTTTGCCTCATTCACTAGCTGTTATAATAATAATATGTGGAAATAGTTGGAGCGATTTTAATAATTTTAACATTCAGTATATTCCGCCAACGAGCGGGTAGAATGACCGTGGAGGAAATGTGTGTATGCGCGTACAAGACTATAAGGGTAAACGATTCCCATCAGCAGCTAATATTAAACCGGGCAGAGCTCGGACGAGTGCCGTCGCTTTAATACCCGGCAGTATTACGCTCGCCGCCGCCACAGCGTCCGTTGCAACCGCCACCTCCGATCCGGAGCAAACGAACAAAACGAGGATGACTTTCGGCCGCCCGGCCAGTTTCACTCCGGCAAAAACAGACAGCTGAGAGTAAACATTAAAACATGTACTCGTAGAGTCGCCAACGTCTGATTTTAATTTTTTCGGTTTGTATTTCCGGCTTTTTTTCTCGGGAAACTTTATCCTTTAAAAGAGATATAAATATTTTTATTTGCTATGATATTATTATACATGTCTGTTAAACGAAATACGAGTAGCTTATTTTTAAGTAATAATTTTGTGAGTCAAATTTTGGTGGATTTTTACACGTGGTATCGCAATCACATTGAGTCCTGTTGAAATCCATTGCCGGTGGGAAGTCGTTTGATGGCTTTTATAACCAATACCAGATCGTAAATGATTTAATTTCGCCTTAGTGGCTTCCGGCGCGTCGTAATGCGACCAAACACAAAAGCGCCGCTCTCGGCGCGAGCCGCTTTGATATCGGCGATATTGTGCGGAGATTCGATCCGCGCCTCGTTTCCGTCGACCAGACGCCGCCCGCCTGCGCCGCCTCCATCGTCTCGAGGTGATTGAAATACTGGCAAAGTGCAACGACATAACGATTTCAATCTGTTACTTTATGCCCTCACATCATGAAGACATTAATGTCCAATCTTACTCACTCCAAAGCGCATCCCACAAAGCGAATAAAACAAAGCCGATTTTATTCGCTTTGCGAACTCATTCGTGGAAAAGGTTAATTCTCGACACAACAAAGGACCCGCGCTCTTCACCTTTAATAAGTTTCTATACTAATTGATTGGCCTGATTAGCTATTAATATCAGAAAATGCGTGCCTTACTGCGAAATGTCAAACCAGTTAAAATTGGGATGCGAGGGTGGCTAAAAAGTTCAATTCGCTAATAAATTACGACTTCATTCGTTTTCTTCTTGCTCTGGTTTTTCTTTGCATTGCGATGAAATGAGCGGCTGTCGACGCCCCGGGCGAAATTAGTTTGCCGCGTAATCCTTGTTTTAAGAGTCGAATTGAAACGCGCGCGGCGCCTCCGCAAATCGTTTTAATTTGCATACTCGGCGACGGAGACGTCGCCGTCGAGTTTGTCAACATTATTCACGAACGCGATTGTTTTACACCTCAAAATTTACTGGCGTCGCGTGCTACAAATGCCGAAACGACAAAAAGAACAGGCACGTAAATTATGATGAGAGGATTCTCAGGTATTTTACATAATTTGTGTACAATTTGTGCGATTTATACGATTCATTAACGTTTCGTTCATATTTCTCTTGCGTCGCGCTTAATTTTTCGTCGTTACAAATTAGTTGAATTTTGCGCGCACAATGCAAATACATGTTGTTGTTGATTATGGTGCATTAAATCTTTGTGAATTCCAGCGCTGGCGAATGTTTCACGCGTTCATCATCGAAAAGTCGTCGACGTGAAAACAAAACAAACGTTCCGGACATTCTCCTGTCGCGTTTTCATCATTCCGATTCCCGCGTTTCCAATCAAAATCATTGTTAAACATCATTGTTGAACGGTTTTTAATACAAAGCTTGTCGGAACGGCGGCGTGCCGAGGAAATACGCGCTCAAATAACGAAAATTACCATTTTTTATGCACGCCCCGGCCCATATTCCTCGCCTCATCTCAATATGCGAATATGCCGGGTCGCTTTTTTCGCTCACGGGCCGCGCAAATAATCAAGATTCCGATCGTATTCGCTTCGGTATGGTTCGGTTTCGCTGCTGCCAGCCGAGATGATGGGCCAATATTTTCGATTCTCTAAAATTCTCACGTATTTTCGTTTAATCTGTTTCTCATCTTTGCCGGGGGAAGGTAAAACTACTAACATTTACATTCCGGTGGGCAATCCGTGTGTAAAGAGCTTTCAAAATAAACCAGAAAGCTGCACAAAAAAGCATTAACATTTTTTTGTGTCGTTTGAAGCGATCTTTCGACCACGCTTCTTCCTTTCGCACGTTTTGTCATTATTGACATTTATTCTTTCTCTTCATTTTATTTGAAAGTTTTTTGTGCTTTGTTTAGAAATTCAAGATAGGAGCGTGTGCGTAAATAGAAGTGTGAGATCTTACTCACGGGTTTCCGGTTTCCGTTTTATGCGGAAGTCGTAAAACGCCCTAAATAAATCTACATTTGAATAAATAGAGCAGATAATGTCGCGACATTAGTTTCGAGCGAAGAATTCCTCCTCCTGCACGTCTTTCCCTTTACGCCGACGAGGGGAGAATAGGTGAGATCGGCTCTGCCTCGATACGAAAACGATTCTGCGGTTTTAAGCAAAACCGAGCAAACATTCGTGTACGTATGTAATAGACGTCCGACCAATTCGTTTTCTCTCGGCGGCTGGCGGAAGAAGCAGGCGCGGCTAAAAAGGGATTCCCGACGGGCTCGTTTCCATATGGGAATCCGATGGTTCGCAACGCAAACGTGCACAAAAAAGGTAAAAAATTACCGTAAAACTTTATGAAATTGTTTCCAGGTTTCCGCCACAACTCCAACACGCGCCGTCGTGGTTCAAGTCCGGCTAAAGAGACATAAAAATGGAAATCAGAATGAGGGAAGAGAAATTGCGGGAAATTTCATTGCGAATAAAGCATGACTTAGTTCCTAATATTAGACGTTACAAGACGTTTTTATGTGCTTTATTTAAAAATTTAACTTTGATTTTCAAAACGGGCTAATACGTGCACGGGGAATTCTTTAAAAGTAAATATAGCTCAAATATTTAATTGCTTTGTGGCTATATTTATAAATTATGTTTTTTTATATGTTTGTGGTGGTAAAAAAGCAAATTTCTTTATTTATTTTGAAGAGTAGTTTTAAAAAATATCCGAAACATACCTATACCGCCATCTGTTGTTGAAGTATGGTATCTCAATTTTTCAGTAGCTATGATAATAGCGAGCGCTCTTCAGTTCAGATTTTCGGATAACAGATGGCGCCACGTTGAACACCATTATTTCAAATTCAAAATACCGGAAACTGAAATTTCATTTTTGATCGAAATACAGAGGCAAACTGGAATATTATATAATACTATATTGGTTGTTGTATAGTTGTTGTTTATTTTGGTATTCAGCAAGGGAATGTAACGCATAGAGGCGCTCACATCAGATAGTGCGTATAGAATTTCTTATTATTTTGTTTAGTCCGCTCTGCGCTGTTGTGCCGCGAGCACGTGTTTTGTTCGACAGTCGATCTTTATGGCGACTTTTTGTGATCTTTAAGATTTAATACGGTAGTAGCGTTAGAATTGGTTGACTATTGATAAAAATTAGTGATATCATAGCAACTTAGAGTTTCGGTAATTGTGCGTGAATGTCACATCCGGTGTCCTGTTCTTCTGGTACCTTCGAATTCCAATTGGATTTATTGTTCATCTATACAATTGTTATTTTGTGAAGTAAACATTGTTTGTTCTTTGTTTGTTTGTTTTTTCATAGTCTCTTGATCGTTTTTAGATTGTGGTTACATTTATATTTATAATATAGATAATACAATTCCAGTACTTATGTACTATTTCTTTGTTCCAGAATCATCTCCACAAAATAGGTTTGCGCGCGTTTCATAATAATTTCTCACGCGTTAAAACGTGAATGGCATTAATATAAATGGTGCGTGTATATGTGCGGTCTGTAATCGTCTCTCACTTTGGTTCCGCGTTGAATTTATTATGCCTGGAAGTTCTGGAATTCGTGTAAAAACCACGTTTGGCTCCTGCAAGGAATTTCGTAGGAGTAAGAGCTGTTTGCTACTGAGTAAGTAACATCAATCGAAGAATACTGGGAATCTCATCAAATTGTGTGAGTATTGAAAATGTTATTTTTGTATATCGAAGTTGATATTTGTTTTGAGTCTAGCTAGACGTGACGACATGGCATTGTGACGCTCGCATCAGATAGTCTCTATAGAATGTCTTATCATTTGTTTCAGTCGGTTGTGCGCTGTGGTGCCGCGAGCACGTGTTTTGTTCATCATTCGATCTTTGTGGTTATTTTACGCGTTACTTAAGATTTTAGAAGTAGTTATGTAGAAGACTTAGAATTAGATGACTCTTGAATTCATTTAAGAATGACGTACTAGTGTGGCGTACAACAAATAATTTATCGCGTGTGAATTTCTGAACTGAAAGGCTATCTCCTGTGCGTGCGTGCTGCCGTCGGACACCGGCCGTCGGATATCTTCCTGTGCTTACGAATTCCGATTGGATTTATTGTTCATCTACACAATTGTTACCTCGTGAAATAAACGTCATAAGCTGCCCAACTGGAAAGAAGTTTGTTACTGATGCAAGACCAATTCAAGTAAATTATGTCTATTTTACTAATATTTTTAAACAATTAACATTTAATTTTTTGGGTGTATAGGTTTCAATAAATATTCAATTCAACATGTACTCTTGTGATTGTATGAGTTTCAATAAACTATACTTTTAATATTAAATTTGCTAGTATATTTGTCTATGTTTCCTTTTTGTCGTTTTCAGAATTAGATTTAGAGACCACATATGATAATACGTGTTTGAAATGCGAATAACAGGTACATAAATGTTGTTGTTTTTAAAAAGATGAGAAAATCAACAACATTTATACCTGAAACGAATGAGTTTCGATAAGAGAGCCGTGTGGCTCAGGTGGCATGTGCATATGCTAGCATGCCAGAGGTTCGTGGATCGAATCTCAGTTGTAGAAGGCAATTTTATTAAATAATAAGAAATTTACGAAATGTGGGTTGCATACCACAAAAATTCAAGATTCAAATGTTAGAAATAACTTGAAAAGCAGAGTACGACGAAGCAACAATAAGAATAAGTAGAAGAGATGGCGGAGGAGTAAGGAAAAAGAGTAAGTAGAGAGCAGCAGGAGAGAATAGTAGAAATGAGAGGAGAATAGAGAGTACAGGAGGAAAAGAGAATAGGGGTGACAGAATTTTTAAATTTTTTGGCACGTGTCGTTATAAGACAGTCTACGGTCGATCTCCCAGAGCGCCTCCGGCGCTCTGGTCGATCGCCCACTGCTTCGATCCGTCCATTGCTCCCGGCCCATCCTACAGCTACGATGACTCTGCGCTTCATCCCCGAAATTATCAGGCATATTAACAATTTTTATGGTGGGGGATCACCCCCGGAGAGAGGGAACTCCTTATATGGACATCCTTTTAAGGACTTGTAAAAATACTTCTAATTGTTAAGTCGCCTCAAGAGAGGGGACACTTAAAAATATTCTTACAGGTTCTGACCTGTAGCTGAAATGAAAGATGGAGTACACAAATCATACAGGATACCTTAACAATTTTTATAGTGGGGATCATCTCCCGAGTGGGAGAACTTCTTATAAGGACTTGTAGAGATATTTCTAAGTGCCGCTGCTCTCAGAGCCGACCACAACACTGAGAAATACTTTACAAGTTGTGACCTGTACCTGAAATGATGGAAGGAAGGGGTGCACAAGTCATAAGACACAGCCATTGCCTTTAACATTTCTTTATTAACTAACTAAATACAATATAACTTTAGAATTTACAATTTCAATATCTACAAAACACATGACGTCATTTTAAAACATGTTTATCATCTGCATAGCGGCCATATGCTATGGCTATCAAATTACAAAATATAACACTAGAAAATAGCAAATTGCGCCCTGTTTTTGCATGACATCAGTGGAAAATTATATACAGGGGGTTATCAAAACAAAATCTTCAATTAAAAAAGAAAATCACCTCAAAACAATAAAGATTGTCAATTTTTGGCTGAGCATAAAGGAAAATTTACATACAGGGTGTTGTCAAAAGAAAATCTTCACTTGAAAAAGAAAATCGCCCCCAAAACAATATAATTATGCTCATTTTTCGCAGAGCATTAAGAAAAATTTATATACAGGGTTTATACAAAATCAAAAGTGAATGTTTTATTACCTGTTTTCTACTGTTTATATAGGGGACGTGACAAGTACATGAATAGAAACATAATAAATAATACAATTGCTAATAATTATAAATTTATTAAACACATTTTAAAGAAATACTAAATTCAGATCTCTTAAACGCACAAATTAGCACAGACAGAATTATGAATACAAAAGCAAAAAGAAGGCACGAAAAAGTCCCGAAAGAGAGCGAATACGCAGCCGACGGAACGCGACAATATTCCAATACTTGTATTACAAAGGTTATAATATGCAACCATGTGACTACTATGCTATGTATTAAAGTGTTAACTAATTTTTCTGTTCGTTTTTCCTTATAAGGAGATAAATCCACATTTGACTGTTTAATTCTTCGAATTGTAATAGAATATAGTTTTTATGTTACATACATTTTTACGTTTTCGCAGATGAAATATTCCATACGATGCACAAAAGATGTTTATTCAAATTAATAATTAAATAGATACACGAAACAAGCCTGAGTATTTCTTAGCCGACGAAAGATATCCGACGGCCGACGGAAACACGTGGTGCGTACGTTGTAAAACCACGAAATTCTTGGTTCCACGCGCGATAACTCATTAACTATAGGCCGCACTTGTCTGTTATTTCTAAATCTTATCTTTGGTGACTGATTATAATTCAACTGCCGACTTAAAATCACAAGAAACGTAATAAGTCGCCATGAAGACCGCCGCGCAAGTAAACACGTGCACACTACGCCGCAGCGCACGATCGACTAAGTAAGAAATGGAACAAACACTGCTGAGCGCATCGGATGCGCTGCGACGCAATAAAAACAAGTTGTTTGTGCACTAACACCGATAAGAGCCAAGAGTGCGAACTACGAGTATAAACTATTCATGTTGTGGATACAGTTCAATACAATGGAAAGATTTTATATTCTGAACGTACCCTCTTATTCACATAAACAATGTATCCTACAATCCGGAATTGAATGCAGTCTATATGAAAAGGCAGTTTAGGAGATAATCACAATTGAAAAATCTGGGAACAACAAGGCAAATCTTATCTTATCTCCTTTCGCAATTATTTTTGAACTTATACTTCACGTAATTAATATATTTCATTATCCTGTTCTATATAGAATTTTTGGAAGTTTTATAATCTTCAATCACGTGGCGAGGATGAGGGTAAAAGTGACTCCCATTCAGGGCATCGTACGAAGCTAGCGGTAGAAGTGACTCGATTCAGGGCACCGTATGAGGCTAGCGGTAGAAGTGACTCGTGTTCAGGGCACCGTACAAGACTTCCAAGCGCAACGAGTACTATGGCGCACACATACAACTTTGAATATAACTCGCGTTACGGAATTTTCTTGCGAGAAATTTCAATACAGGGAGATACAGAATTAAATTCTACATCTGGGAAAATTACTTCGAACTTACTCTGACAGCGCGTTCGCGTGTTAAAAAGCAACAATTCCTAGCGCACCGAGTAGTACGGCGCACACACACAACTTTGAATATAACTCGCGTTACGGAATTTTCTCGCAATAAGTTTCTATACAAAGAGATACAGAATTAAATTTAAATTCCGACGGCACGCGTAGATCAATCACTAAATGATGAACATTTTTCCCGTGCTAAATTGTTATCAAAGAGCCAGAATTACTTGTCTAACTAATCACCGTTGATTACTTCCTAAATGCGCCCCAATCAAACAATTAAAATATTAAGAATCGTATCATTTGGCAAACGTGCAGTATTTTAACAATTAATTTTGCAAATAAACGTAATTTTCTAGACAAATTGTGATAATAAAACTGATAAAGTATTTAATTATTACCAATTAATAAATAAAAACCCGCAATAATACAAAGTAAAAATGTAAACAAGTTTGTACGTGAGTGTGTCAGTGCAGTACTCGTCGGTGTGAGCTGCAACTCAAATTGTAAATGATGTGCGAACACGTGTTTATGTTAGCTACGGTGTTAGAATTTAATATCTTTACACTTATGCACACACATTTCACATGAGGCTCAGAAGATGACTGTGTTAATAACAATTGCTACAGATTTCCAAGTTTATTCAAATTATAACACCTACCTTTCAGCCCATAGTTAATCCAAAATATTTGTGTAACAATAAGTCCCACATAAATCATTACCACAAAACATCACGTCACATACTATTATTATTCAACGTGATGGTAGTCGAAACGGTCGAAATGTGGTCCGTCGCGAGAAGCGTTTACAGACGATAAGACAGTGAAGAACCCCATTCTACTGCTACCAAGTCCACGTCCAACATTCCACGCACTAATTATAATAGGCTGCGTACAAAATAAAACACGTCCATTAACACGATGCACCGAACAGATATTAAATTCACGAAACACGAGGCGCGCAGCGAGATACCATTGCGAACATGTCGGCGACAAGACTGAATTGCATGCAGCGACGACATTGGGCAAGGTTGCACAGAGGTGATACTATCCAGTAACAATAACACAAACAAACCGGTCACTATCAACGCCACACGCGGAATCTACCTGCGACAAGGCTGCTATTACACGATGTATGAAAATAAAATAAAATAAATACTGCATTGCAATGTAGTTTAATTATTAGCTTATGACAAACATAGCAGCAATAATAAATCGACACAAATAAATTAACAAAATACATAGACATATCGAAATTACAGTCGGCTGATTGAATTCGAATTAAGTCTCTTCACACTTTCTTGGTAAATCAAATCAATGTAATTAAAAAATCCGTTAATCAACATATCAATTTTGTCTTGCGAATCAAATTTGGTCGCGTCTAAACTAAAACCCACCTGCATTTTATCATCATACGTAAGAATACTCACACCAATACCAAGCGCGTGCTGTAGCGGAATATAAAACGTAGGACATTTAATTTTAGCACCATTAAAGAATTCCCGTTTGGGTCCACCGGGAATGCAACTAAACATGGTAGCAAAAAATAATCGATGACAGAAAATTTTCACCATAGGTAGCGGTAGAATATTTAAAAACACCTTGAACGTAATATACATAGAAATAATATCAAACGATTTAAACACTCGCTCAAATTCAGCCTGAACCAGCATCAGGCGTTGAATTAAACTCTCGCCAGTGTTCTTATCCACGACAACCGGGCATACTAACTGGAAGGCAGAGAAATCATTATCGAAATCGTTTTTTCCACCTTGTGTCAACATTCTTTGAATACGACCGACGTTTAACTGCAGCGGACAGGCTATGTTGATATTAGCAGGAATATTATCCGGAATATACTTTTTGAAGTAATCTGCAAGACTTGCGGTGTAAGCAGCAATAACCACGTTGAGAAAAGTAACTCCAGGGAAACATTTACGAACTTCTCGGATCTTCCAGATGCAGTCCTCTTCGCGCGAAACAAATTGTCCACTTGTAAGAGTATTTTCGGACCAGATTAGCTGCCGATCAAAAGTTGGGCCTTGATGAACGTTGATAACATGCGATGCACACTCTTTCAGTTTGTCTATTTTTTCATTCGGCTGCGTTAATTTCTTCACGTATGATTCATTAGCTTCACAGGGAGTTGTAAAAGCATTTGATAAAAGATTATAAAACACCAAACCATCACCAAGGGCATGTTTTACTCTGAAAAAGAATGCATACGTCTTTAAACCTTCGGTGTTTTCATCGTCTTCAATAGGTGTTGTGCACAACGCCATGTCAAATGCAAGTTCATTATTGCGTGGCATTGGACTTCCAAAAAATTTATTCACGTAATCTTGTAGTTCTATTTCCGTCAGGAGTGTCTTATCTGTTTTAATTTCCCTGAATACTTCTTCAATTTCAAGATCTCTGATGTTCACAATGAAACTATAACCCATTTGACGAGGACATAAGCAGAATAATTCATTGCGGATATCAGTGATGAAGAATTTTTCAAATATTTGATCGTTTATCTGATCAAAAAGTTCATTTCCGGATAGATGTGTTGTAATTCTTGAAAGGACACTTATATGATTGAAGTCCTTATCGTGGAATGACGTGACAACTCCGCAACCGGGGACAAATTTTACGAATTTTCTACCGTACCAAATCTTTAGGCATGCGTAGACAAATCCTTTATAAGTTCCAAAAATTATTGTAATTAATGCAGTCATTAATAGTAGAAGCAATGTGGGTAATAGCGCCAATATAAATAATGCAGATTCGTTGTTTGTTACATTTTTTAACATAAACTAAAAATTGTCAAAATTTATTTAATTAAAAACAAAAATAGAATAGAATACCTTACCTTAGCTGACGTGTAGTGGTACAGAATAAAGCACCAAATTGAATAGGTAACTATAATATACAATTTGAATTATGTTATGGTAACACACACATACACAAAACCAACTCACTATGACCCAAGTGCATCCTGATTCACTTTTTCGATGTTTCACCTGCTATGATGAAAATTCAAATGATAATCCGCAATTTGTAAAACATACACGAACCACTTTTCGTTTCACTTCAAGGAGAGAAACGAGAAGAACTCTTGAGGAAATGCAAACTGGCTTGAAATGCAGATCCAGCTTACCTTGTCAAAGGACGAGCGGTCAATAACACACTTCTTCTTGCACCTCGTAACGTCTTCCCGTACATTTAGCATCAAATTAAACATGAAATTTATAATATACGCAACGCTCTATTTCACGCTTTCATTACTCTACTTGAACGCCGCATGAAATTCAAAATATTTATTGCAATCGTTGACCTTCACTGCCGTACAAGGCGAATGCATCCACGCATCGAAATCGAAATGCGTGCGAAAGTGAATTTGCAAAAGTCAAGTGCGTCCAATTACCTGGTAAACGAGTTTATCTCGCAGTCAGTCTTCGGTGGTCAAGTGCGCATTACAAAGAAAATAAACAAAGGCGATAACGATGAAGACCGAAGGCATAAAAGCCGGCGCAATCAGGAACTGAGCGCATTTTTCAATGTTTTAAACTTTCAAACATGTTTAAACTTGTGCGCCTACTGAAATCTTGTAAGTACGTAACCAGTGTTTAATATTTAAATAATATCAAATGATATTTTGTTGCAGTGCTGCAAAGTGTTCAAATATTTGTAATATTCCATTATGCTATTGTCAAAGTAAGTAATCGGTCAATAACTTTTGAAAAAGTTAATAAAATTATTTGTTTTTCAGCGTACCATTTCAAATAACTATGGAACAAAACATCCAATACTGATAGATATTGTTACGTCAGTTATAACAATTTATTTTTTGTTATTCTCGATAATATTGCTATCAGTATGCGGATGTTACAAAATCTTAGTTTATATTTACCTGTTGTTAAGACACGGAAAACTTCTGAATGGTATGATTGCCGGAATGGATATGCTCACAATTTTGGCACCTGGTTGCGATGGTTCAGTCCATGGGCTCACAAGATGTTCCACCAATAAACCCTATGATGCAAGAGAAATTTACAATCAACTTTGCACTCAAATAAACAAAAAGTTTTATCAAAACCAAGTTGATGGAAAGTTTTTCTCTACTAGAGAGTACACCATTTTGGGTTATCACTACTTCAAAGAAACATTCGGAGTAGAAGTTGAAGACATTGTTAAATATATAAACGCACCTGATCGAGAAGTAACTGATTCCATCACTGAAGATGAATTGATGCAACTAGCAAAAACCTACTTCAATTCAAATCTCCCTGTGAATAACAAATTCAACTGGGATATCTGCCTATGTCTCAATCCGATTGCTTCTGAAAACAAAACAAATGATGATGATAAAACTAATTTTGTAATATTTACAAGAATGCATCACACTTTGGGAGATGGTCTTGTCATTTACAACGTCTTAGTAAACAATCTCTTCCAATTTGGACCTGAATTCAAAACATACTCAGAAAATCTTGTCAATAAATGTAAAAACTTAGAAAAGAAGAAAGCCGGCACACATGTATACAAATACGGACACAAAATACTCATAGACAAACCATGCATTCTACGAGATGGTCAACGCCATGTTAAAACCATGTTTACTAACATAGTTGAACAACCATCTTCAATGACCTATTTAGACAAAATAAAACTTATCAGGCAAAAATATCCTGGAGTGATGACATTCAACATTTTCATGACGGCATACTCAGCATCTTTAGCTGATTACTATATAAAATATTCTAAACCAAAAGATATCCCAGAAAACATGGAAACAACACATCCTGTACAACTAGACATTCGAAGATATTTAGACATATACTCATGTGCAGACAAGATTAAGTTATCTAATGAAGTAGCTAGTTTTCAGTTTACTTGTCCAATCGTCCCCAGATCTAAGAAAGATGTTCCAATTGAAGATTACCTAATTGACAGGATGTTGACAATAAAAGATGACTTTGATAGAGCTATGAATTCCATGGATATTCAAGCGAGTTACATCTGGACCGCGGTGTATTTTGCTGTCTTTCCTTATTGGATCACAAGGAATCTGTTTGAAGGAGTGTTTATAACATCACTGACAACTTGCATGCCTGGCGGACCCAAACTAAAGTTATTCAACAACGACAGCGTAGATCACATATCATACTTCCTACCAAAACAATACTACAGTACCCTGGTGTTAGCAATAAACACTTACAATCATCTGCTTCAAATCGGAATGACGGCAAACGAAGAAAAGGTTGAGACGCTCACAAAACTAAACGAAATACGTGATGGAATCTTTAAATATTTAGATCTACTCTACGCACAATGTGTTAAATTGGATTAGTAATAAGAACACACACAATACATTGTCTTTATCTTCAATATAATTTTTTATAAACGGTTATTATATTACTGAATTGAACAAAATATATACAATAATTTATATACACACAAAGAGTATAAATAATAGTCAGAATATAAGTTGTTTCTTTTTTGTTTATCAATCGTAGAGATAGTGGTCATGGTTATCTCATGTTTGTTTCTAGAAAAAGTTTTTATATTGTTTCTATACAGCGAGAGAGCGCATATATCGTTGAATATGCGCGGCTTCGATTTTAACATTTAAAATGAGACAAAACTATAAAATACAAAGTATTGCTTGTTCGTTTTTAGTCACATTTTGAAAAAATATCACTTATCCACATAGTTTGGCATATTTTTTTCTAATAAAAAAACAGCCCCCGAAAATTACAAAAATCCGTCCCTCATACACCATCGACCATCATCAGTGTTCACTTCTTCTATAAATTACAATTACCAGATGTTAGCAAATCGCTCCCAAAAATAATAATCAACTAAAATCACATAATAATAATAAAAACATATACATTTTTCGTCCTTAAAAACATGCGTATAACTGTGTGGTTGATTAATTAAGCGGTTAAGAGATTTATTACACAAAACATCGTTTATCGTTTGCATCTATGACTTTTTTTCATTTTTGTATGTTTTTTTGTTTTGTTCATTTATCATTACAACAGCAGTACCTATTACAATTAATTACCATTTTTATGTTTATGTTTATTTTATGAGAGAAGAGCATGCTATTTTTTTCATTTAGTTTGGCTATTACGTCTTTTTGTTCATTTCATTTATCATCACTGATACAAAACGGCACGGAGTGACGAGAATGACACGAATACGATTATGATAATACGGCAGTTCTGCTTTCATCTATGTACGTTTTTGATAATTTCTGTTAATGAGTGTTTGTTTTGGGAAACGGGCAGAGTTAGAGAGCGAGCAATTATTAAGTTGACAACACCATCGAAGAAGTACGCTATTCTAATGATTAATGGACCGATTATTAACACCTTCACTGCACTACTACTGAAGGTCGAAGCGTTTTCCAGGGTTCGAGAGATAGAAAATCACAAATTATAAAATTTAGGCGGCATTTTAGGAAGTTATCTCTTGCATTATAGATATTTCGGTATTACTCTTCTATGTTATTTACAACATGTATTCTGGACTAACATTTCTGCATTCTTTTGTAGTAGTTTTTGTTAAGGGTACTTGTCATTCTACGGGGAGTTAGTTCAGTCAGTTCTATGCGCCATGTCGCCGATAAGAAATAGTCAACAAGCAATTAATTAGTAAAATACAAAATCATTTAAGTTTTAAGTCAACGCAAAACGTACGCTTAATGTACTCACGCGTATTTTCCTCAGATCACTATTTGATATCCATATAAAAAGCTTCATTGGTAATTATAATATGTACAGATTCTCTTTGTCACCTTAAATTGAAATTTATATTGCCTTATTCAAGATATTCACTATTTATATAAATTATGTGCATGTATGTTATTACTACGCCACTCTTGGAATTTCACTTCGTTCCATTTTCTGACCATCGCAATGTGACTATCGTTTTTTTTTCTCAATTTCTTTACGTTTTGATTCCACACACGCACAAAGAATGGAGTCTTGTTGCTAATTGGACAGTTTTTAGCATTGTTTATTACACAAATAATTTAAAATACGCGCGCTTCCCGTCTTTCGGGAGGGTCCTCATATTTTTTTCTCTTTTCTCTTCGTAAAAAATATTTTATATTTTCTTGTTCCTATAATTAGTTATGTACTTACAGAACGACTAGGATTTTTTCATTTTTGTTTTTTTTTGTTCGCATTTGATGTTTTTTTTTTCGTTTGTTGCTCTTTCATTTCTTTTCATTTGTTTGCATTAAATTTATATGGCACATTGTTTAAATGAAATGCTCATGGAAATGTTGGGGTTGGGACTAATCACGCCCCGATCACGTCATGCCGATGATTGCGACCCTTTCGTTGCCCGCTCTTTCGTCGCTTGCGTTTGGCGTCACGCTGAAAGGCAACGTTACCGGGGTCGTCCGCCAACTGAGGATATTTGTGTATACTGTGAATGTCCACACCCTCGTAGCCATCGACATAGCCGTGTGAGATCAACTCTTCTTTTTCTTCTTCAGTCCACTCTCCTCTGCCTTGGAAGCCGATGGCAACCAATTGCTTTTCGACTTCCCAGGCTCGTTCCACGGCACGTTTGTGTGCATGACGGAGGATCCTATGTCGTTCCTGTTCCGGATCGACGCCATATTTGATTATCACAACCGCGTCGGGGTTATGCAGGCGAAGTTCCTTCCCAGCGGGTGCGCCATGTTCGGTGGTTTCATGAGTGGACACGTTGAACATACCTCCAAGACGTCGCAGTTCTTCCAGATCATCGCGAATCTTGAGAACATTGTCTTTCACGAAGTAGAATACGTCTTGATCGTGAATGCTGAAGTGCATTTCAAGGAAGAATGAATTGTTGAACACGGATGTTACCACATCCTGTACTACACCATTAACTCCTTCCACAACACTGACCAAAGCTCGTCCATCAACTCGAGAAATGAGAAGACCTTCCCCAAATACAGCTTTACGATAGGCTACCCTAGGAAGCAGATTCCTTGTCTTCGGTTCCATTTTAAGCAAGGGTTTAGGCACAAAACCAAGATCTGTGAACTTTTCATTGACCTTATCCACAATGCATTGTAACCCTGACATAACACCAAAATCAGGTGCCAATTGTCTTGATGTGACGGTGGCCTGTGGTTTGTACACCAATTTGCTCAGATATTCAGAACCCATCATGTTCTTAATGTCATATCCATATAACTGCAGCCAACTGTTGAGGTCTGTCATGTAATTGACGTTGGACCTTGGATTAATGGGATCGTTATTCTGGAAACGATAAATGAAGACATCTGTGGGTGTAGTCAACTTGGTTGCTAGCTGTTCCCAGGCTGGAGTCATCCATTGGCCAACAACAGGATCATATAATCTCTTATTCAGATACACCAATTTGGTATTAGGGTCGAAGATACCACCATGGAAATCCACAGGTAAATAAAAATCTGGATTTGTGTCCATGGTGATGCTTCCAAATGGTGTACGACGTACCTCCTTGATGAGATTACCATTAATATCAAAGAGTGCCAATGGAGAACCATTTTGATCAGACGCCACGTAGAATCGTTGTTCATTTGTCTCAACAGTAATGATTACTTCACGTTGATCGTAGAGGAAACGGAAAGTGCGTCCGGTCTTCGGGTAATGCAAATGTGTGATTCTATCAGGGGTACTTGGGTTGGAATAGAAGTACTGGGTAACGTTGCCTTTGTCATCATTCCAGGAAATAAGACGGCCCCTGTCGTCGTAGTAATACCATGTTTGGAACTTGTCGCGTTCGAAGGCGTGTATCAATTGACCTCTTGAATTGTACCGGTATTTTTGTTCACCTCGACGTACGACATACCCACGGTTGTCGTAATTGTTGAATTCGACATCGCCATATTGTACAACCCGATCGCCGCTATCGAAGCCAAGTGAAATTTTCTCCTTTTCTTTGATGACTCCAATAACGTTGCCATTCTCATCATACACATATTTCCAGTTAGATGAACCCAGGACTTCAAGAACATGTCCATCAGCATTATAGGTCACTCTATCCATAGTATTCGCACGTCCAATGAGCAATTTTTGTGTGCTAATGCGATTGCGATTATCGTAGTCCAACTCAAGCCGGAACACATCAAACGATTTGATGTTTATCAGGATGGATTTAATGCGGCCATGATCGTCGTATTCGGTGATCGTGAAGAAATGTTTACTGGTGTCTTGCATGACTGATCTGTTAAAGGAGTTTCTGTATATTCTCAGGTCGCTTATACCTTCGAGAATACCCAGGTTCTGGTTGTATTTAAGTCGTAGTTGAGGAACCTCCTTTCCATTGATATCAACATCAATGGCGGACAAACGAGCGTTGCCATCATATGAATATTTATAATGGGCATTATCCAAACCGCTCTTACTGCTAAATTTAACTTTCTCGTCTTTCACTACACCCGCATGGTATTTAAACTCTTGTTTCAGTTCAAAGTTAGGTTCGACTATATCAATATTCTTTACGAGACCGCTTGCTTCAACATATGTATAGTGCGTGGAACTGAGACCAGCAAGACTCGTCTCTAATTTACCTGTAGCGTCATAAACGTATGCAACACGTCCAGATTGATGTGGATAGACCTTTGCCAGAATCTGACCTTCATCGTTGTATATAATTTCATATGGATGACGGTTCATCGGTGAGAAGTATTGATACTTGAAGAAACCAAGCGACGTTTGTAGAGAGAAGGTGTGAATGTGTCCACGAGGTGTGGTAAGCGATTGGAGTGCACCAGCCTCATCATATTGAAGAAGATAATCTGAACCACGTGGAGTAGTAACCTTCAAAGGCTATAGAGGAATAAAAACAATTGTAAGTAAAAATATATTATTTATGATTAAGATATTTAATGTGTTGATTACTTACCAAACTGCTGAACATATCCTTGAAAGCGTAAATCATAGAAGACCCATCGCCATATTTGATTTCGTACAATCGACCCGCCCGATCAAAACCGTAGGTTTCACTAATATCGCCCCATTTCCAATTAGTTAACCGACTGAATCTGTCATATTCTAATTCCACCTCGGCAAATATACCGTTTCTGGGTCCCCATTTCACAGGACGAGCAGTTCGATCATAGGTGACATTCAAAAGTTCCACTCGCTCATCCATAAACACTGATACTGAGGCAGTGTCTCTGTCATATTCTAATGTTAGTAAATTCTCTCCATTAACTCTCAATTTACGACCAACTTGTGCAATGCCTTTAGGAGTAGCATTCTTTCCTTTGCCTTGTACGCGCCTGAGGAAGTACCTCCATTCAAATCTGTTTGCCAAATCGCCTCCAATTTCAGACCTTTGTTTGGCTGGTACTGGATAACTTTCTCCTAATAGAGGATCAATTTCAGCTAGTACTGTATAGGGTACTGTGTCAATGTTGGTATTGTGTGACCATGGAACGGTGGATTCTACACCACCATCAGGAAGAAGGATTATCTTCTGTTCAGCTTCACCAACAATAGTACTAACACTAGAACCTTTGATCAACATGCTAATAGGTTTCTTGTTGTTTTGGCCCACTTGAACAGTGGCACCCTTGATGCTGAGATCAAAGGATAAGCTGATTACTTTACCAGTTGGGGTTACTGCTGAGGTCAGTCTACCAAACTCATCGTAATTGTACACATAACTTCGTCCACTACTGTCTAATTTAGTTTTTAACAGACCAGTAGGTCCATGATAATCGAAAGTCACGTTGTAGTTATCAGGTGTGCTTAATTCATGTAACATCCTCATTCGAGACATACGCAACCTGCACTTTTGACCCTTAGTGTTTTCAATGGAATTCACCTGACTTGAATAATCTCTGAGTAAGAAAACTTTGTTTCCTGCAGCGTCGGTTACAGTGTTAAGTTTACCATTGCTGGTATTTACATTATAGGTGAAGAGGTATGTTACTTCACCAGTCAGAATGTTTTTGGTTTGAATATGCTGTCCAAACCGGTTGAAGAAATAAATTTCTTGAGTCTCCGGTGAGAATATTTCATATTCTCTTGTCGCACTAGCATCTGGAATACTCGCCATTACTGAGCGGATTCTGTAGTTGGCCTGGTCACCAATATGAACATGACCATCAGGACTAATAGCGACCGCTGAGATGGTATTGAATTTAGAGTTTGATGCCAGGTAGTGATCGGCTTCGAAACAATCACAACCACGTTCGAGGCAATTACATTTAGATTCTGCACCCGCATATGGCGCAATCTTTCCATCTGTACCTATCACGCGAACGCGGTTTATCCTCTGTGAGTCACTTTCTGCAACGTATAAATCGCCTGCAGCGCTAAATGCAATACTTTGCGGCATAACCAATGTGGCATGAGTTGCAAGTTCAATATCGTAGCCGCTCACAGGTGATGCACAATGTAAGGGACGTCCCGCAACTACCTTAACTCGGCCATCCGAAGTTAATTGCAGAATCATATGGTCGTCGATGATATGTAAAGAGTTGTCAATTGGATTAATGGCCAACTCAGTAGGCCATCGAAGGTGTACTTCTTCTAAATTAAGAGTACCTTCACAAGGAATAGGCTTCCAGTGTGATTTGTGCATGTGATTTCCGATAACTGTAGTAACAATTCCGTCACGATCCACCATACGGATATTAGTGCCATCAGCAAAGTAGACGACGTTGTCGTTGGATACTGCGACACCCTTCGGGTAGGCTAGTTTGGCATCTCGTGCAAGTGCACCATCTCCACAATGAGCTTCGTCGCCAGGGAGGCACCTCTCGCCTGAGCCAACAATGGTTTCCCAGTTGTGATCAGGATCAGAGTAATCATCTGTATTTCTTACTCTGATAATTTGGTGTGACTCGGGATCGGAGATATAGAGAGTACCATCCAGAGCACTCAAAGCCATATGGTAGCGATAAGATACTCTGGTGGCATTAAGTCGGACAATTGTTCGAACTGTGCCATCGGTCAAGATTTTACGCACCAAGTTGAAATCACCTACGTAAATTGAACCATCTGCAGCAGTTGCCAAAGCTACCGGAGCCAAGAGGCGTTGTTTACTTGCTTGGCCCTCACAATCTGTACATTCAAGTGGTCTTTGATGTCCATCACCCATTGTAGTAAGGATAACTCTAGGTTTATGCTTCAGGTAAATGTTTGATCCGTCACCCTTTTGGAGGATGCCTTCATGGAAGTTGTATCTGTGATGAATATCCAAATTCCAACCACCGACTTCAGAGATACTCATGTCATGACCACTCAATTTGGTAGTTTGGACATCCCAAATGATATCTTTGCAGTCACCATATTGATAACCAACTTTGACAATTGCGGTTGTAACACCATACACTCTTTGACGGTATACATTGAGACGATTCCACGCGTAAGTGAATTTGATTACAGGATCTGCTTCAAAGGTCTTTTCAAAGAGGATACCTTCAATGGTAATCCTCAAATGGATAAGGCTCAAAGCACTAGGGATCTTCTCTGGGGTAAGTTGTAGTTGAATAGTGGAAAGATAACCAGCAGCCCGGGAACTGTGGTAAACAAGGTTTAATCCCGTACCAGGAATCTGCAGACTTTCTTGAACCACTTGTGATTCAGCTAATATGGCACTCTTGTCCGGGCAGGCACCTTGGAATCCATGTTTCCACGTTGCAAGGACAACTGGTTTCATTGCATCGTAGTCATGAGCGTTGCACGGCATCGGTGGTGGTGCTGCAGCCTTTTCTTCGCCAGTAGTCATAACAACATCATCAATAATCACAACTTCGTTCCACGGAATGACCACGATATGAGTTTGTGGTCTAAACGGAGAACGTCCAAACTGCAGAGTAACGGCACCACCTCCATTAACAAGAAGATCAAACCATCCATCATCACGAGTCATTGTGAACCCTTCCAACGGTGTTGCGGTGCTAACCCTGACCCCCATTAGACCCATGCCCATGGTGGTGATAACGCGTCCTCGGACAACGGCAGAGCGACTAATAAAAACACACACAATTAGACTCAGAAATTCGCAGAGTTTCTCAAGCAAAGTTTAATAAGCCAAGACAATCTTAAAAGAAACGAAGCAAACAAAAAGTATCGACAAACACAAGTGGATATAAAAACGGAGAAACAAAAACCAAACCAGGCACAAACATACAAACAACAACTCATTAAAAGTTTTGATTGACTAGAGAGAGAGTTAATCTTTTACTAAATAGTAGTATTTGCTGGTTATTCGCCCGTTTCCTTACCTCGTGTTGAAGTGATTCCAAAACACACTGAGAGCAGCAATAAATAAGAAAGCCGTTTGTTAGCAACTTGTTAGATGTACGCAGCGCGTAATATTTTTAGTAATAGTAATAGTTATAGAAAACAAAATGGTGAATGGTAGTCAAATACACTAAAAAACAACGTCATGGGAAGTGTTTCGACATGGGGCACAACAATGCATATCTAAATTTGAGAACAGACATCTCGTCGAGGAGAACATTAAAACACCCAAAATTGTGAGATAAATGGTGTTAATTTTATACCAAAGAAGGTTCAGTGTAGTATTCTAGTTCTCTAATTTAAAGATGGAAACATCAAAACCATACCTTTCATTTAAGCTCTCCTGACGTGCGTAATTCTGCAGACTTCCTTCATCGATAAGGAACTTCATACGCTCAAAGAAGGATGCCGTAATCGCCGGTGGTTGTTTCCTCAGAAGAATATCGATGGGTTTCGGTGCAGCCACGCAAAGTTGACTGTTCTTGCACTGCCGATCAGCACAGCACTCCGGATCTTCACAATCAACTAAACCATCTGCAAACGAGTGATTTGAGTACTCACATTCAATCATACTTAGGAGTTATTAATTACCTTTGTCATTGTCACGACCATCACTGCAGTTATGCTCCAATAAAACACTACAATCAGGCCCGTCCCATCCACTCTCACAACGACACTCCCAGGCGCCATCAGTGTTAAATCTACACTGACCGTGACCCGAACAACTATTGGGACAACCCTCCAACGTGCAGTGTTTGCCATTCCACCCTGTCACACACAAGCATGTACCGTTTTTGCACTGGCCGTGTTCGTTGCAGCGAGAGTCACACAACTTCATATTGCACGAATCTCCACCCCAACCGTGGTCACACTGGCAGACATCAGACACGCAATGACCATGCATGCCACAGTCCAAATCACACAACTCCTTGGAGCAATCCTCCCCGGACCACTGTGGCTCGCACGTGCAGGTTTGTGTATCGAGGTCAAAAGTACCATGACTCGAACAGTCCGGTAAACATTGCAGAGCGTCCTTGTCCATCTGGTCACATGCGGGTCCCTTCCAGCCTTTCTTGCAGAGACACGTGCCTTCAACGCAGAACCCGTGACCCGAGCAGTTCGGATGCGGACAGTCGACTGTAATCAAAGTATTGATTTACTACACGAGTAAAATCACGTGTACGAAGTAATTAAATCGTGTTATGTTTCATCAGTAGACAGTATCATGCCTTGAAGCACCAAGATGCTGTTAGTATCAGCACGTGACTTTTTATTTTACTCCGCCGTCTTACCTTCCTCGCAGAACTTTCCCTTATATCCGCGCACACATCCGCACTTGCCGTTGGAGCAATGTCCGTGTCCGTTGCAATCAGGCACTTCGCACTCGTCATGCCTGAGAGAGCACTCCTTGCCCTTCCAGCCGGGGTTACATTGACACTCGCCGTTGATGTACTCGCCGCGCTGGCTGCACAACACCGGGCAGACACCTGAGTGGAAAAAATAAGGAACATGCGATTAATACACAGAGGAAGGAAGAGCAGCACAAGCTATTAGTGCAAGTTAAAAGGTTGTCGGACGCTTACTCTCGCTACAGTCGTCGCCGCCGAATCCTGGGTTACACTGGCAGTGACCCATGAGACATTCTCCTTTGCCGCTACATCCATTGGGGCAGTTGTGTGTCATATCGTCCGCAATCACCGCGATGAATGTCACCTCTTGCGGGTCACCATCGTCGTTGTATAGGGACAAGAACCAATGGCCCTGTTCCATGTAATGTGTGACCTCTTTTTTGACCGAAGACTGCAAAACCATGAAACCATCATTTGCTGCTCTTCCATGGACGTCCGAAAGAAGACTTACATGTGACGCCCTAGTAGTTCTAGCTTTGAACCCGCTGAGGACCTCCAGAATATGATATTGCGTATGTGTGGGCAGGGCATTTCTTCGGCCATAGACCCCGATGCTGGCACCACGTGGGATGTTGTAATCGAACTTGACGTAGGCCGCTTCGGATTGATAGAATTGCATATTCCAGTAACCGTACGGCGGGATCTCCTTGGTGAGCCGTTGGCCGAGCGCGATTTGCGAGAAGGTGGTTCCGTCCGGCGGGAAGGATTGGGCAGGGAACGTCCGCGCTCCTGAACACATAATATTAGTAGAGTTAGCGCCATAGAATGTAAACACAGCTCCCACAATATAGAAAATCACTCAATTCGAATTGGATTTTAATGATCGCATTGCAAAGTTTAACATTTTGATGTGATCTGACGAGTGATTTTCCAGTGGTTTGGTTTGATGTAAATGCAAATGCAAAGCGTGACAATCGATTTTTGCAAATTCGCCCACCGTCCGCTGAATAAATAATGCGATTTTCATGTTTGGCGGGCGGGCGTATCGCGCGGTCGCTTGTTTACTGTTGACATTAACGTTATGCGGCGCGATTGCCAGAAATAGATACCGGATTTGCTGGAAAATGCGACCGTACCGAAGCGACGTTCTGTTGGCAACAATTGTTTGTCGTAGCTTGCTCGTTTTTTGCGCATTTAATAATTCCTGATTTATACGTCTGGGTCTCTTGGCTGCCAATAACAGCCCCGAAGTTATCGACTGCCAAGCGCGCGCGCGGTATTGGTAATGTGCCAGAATATCAATATTGTCAGATTATTTCAATAAATTCGCGTAATCGGCGAAATGTTAATTTGAAGCGCGCGACCAGTCCAGATAACGCCGAACAAATTGCGGAAAAACGCGGTGAAATACGATCGTTAACCATCCACCATTCGAACCGCCCCCGTGCGGGTGTGAGAGTAAAATATCGAAATCCCAGCGTGGCCCCGACTAACAGCGACAAATTTGATTTTAATGCGTTCGCGGGTGATTTGGGAAAAATCGTCACGCCATCCAACGATTACAAAACCCACTCAACTTGAAATCCGATCCCCCGGATATCAAAAAAAGATTTTGATGCATTTGATTCTAATTAATTTAACGAGCTACAAAATACGTGGCGAACAATGAAACATGCAGAGTGATTGAAGCAACATCATGCAAGGTGTTAGTTACCAGCGACCAGCCCAAAACGTTTTTGAGCGAAAGCTGTCGATGCTGATGATGATGATAGCGGTGTTGATGAATGTATTAATATTTACAGCTTTCAGGTGGTACCCTACCTTCGAGAATGAGAATTGTGGGTGTTGGTGGAGTTTTTGTGTTGGAATCTAAGCAACTGGTTTCACTAGTTTCTGAAAAGAGTGTGGAAAGTGTGCTTTCCGTAGTGTAATCATCTGTAAGTATTGATTCTGATGATGTTTCGAATGACCCAGTTTCTAAAGTTGTCGAGAGTTCGCTGATGGTCTCTGAGGTATCCGCACTGCTTGAAGAAATATCGTCTTCGGTGGTACTTAAAGACCCAAATTCACTTTCTTCGATCAAAGCGAGTTTGACTGTGTCATTCTTTGCGCTACCTGCCGGGCTTAAATCCTCCTCAGAAGCAAAATAATTTGGATAATCCTCCTGCTCGGAGGGTTCCGAATTGGAATCGGCATCCATGCAGGGACACGTGCATTGGCATTGCCCGCCATCCAATTCAGCGCTCTTTGCGATCGGATTTGCATTCACGCTCGTCGTCTTTGCGACTTTTTCCAATTCGCCATGCGCCGGCGGTGTGGGCTTTGCGGGCTGCGACAATGCGCCGCTCTCCACTTTGGGGGGATTTTCCTCGACGAGCACGAGGTTCGGCTGTGCGCCATTCGTCGGTACCGAGAGCGAGAGGACGTAGAGTGATTGAGGTGCGTGCGGATTAGCGTGATCCGGATCGGTAGCAATTGTGACGTTAACAAGCAGGCGCGTAGACATCGTCTGCGGTCGCGTCTCCAGAATTACATTCACATTAGTGGCGGATTCATTAGCATTAGTGGAATTAACAACTCTCGAAGAAACAGATGGCTGATTGGTAAAAGATTTTTTTGCATCCGCAGCAATATCTCCAGGGGGTACATAATCAGGCGCGGCTAAATTTGAATCCGTCAACTCCTTTGATGTCGCCTGGACCATTTCATATACCTCGTGGTTCTTATTATAACTAATGCCTAAATTCATTTCATCCGCACCGAAATCTTCTTGATGTACTTTTACTATATTCACCTCTTCCTCGCCACTAGGGAGAGCCTCATCATTCTGTTCATTAAGATCTAGAAACTGGAACGCGTCTGCATTTACAATTTCTTCAGGGATTTCAACATTTTCCACCGTAGTTGAAGTCCCATCATCATAAACTTCCTCAGTTGTTATTTCATTTGTAAAACTGTCAGAAACTGAAACACCTGCGACAGTGTCCCAGTTTTCCGTAGTTGGTTCTGAGTCCCGCTCAGTTTCCTCTGGTGTATTTATCGTTGTTGTTTCATTGTTAGTCATAGACACAGTAATAGATTCGAGGGTAGTTGAGTCCTGCTCAGTGGTCACCTCGACGGTTGACTCAACTGGAGGATCACTACCGTCGAAGGACGTCTGATCATGCAATAATTGTGTGTGGGCTACAATAGTACTAGCATGCTGGACACTCTCATGCTGAACATTGTTATCGTGTCTACGCTTTCTAACAAAGATCAAATTACCTCCAACTGATCCACTCGCTGTATTGGAACTGCTCGTCGCCGCTAGGCCGATGCTGGTCTGCTGCTTCGGCTTGGTCGATGTGGAAAGGTTCGTTTCGGAGGTGATCGTCTTCGAGGCGGGACCTGGTAGGGCTTCCGCTGTGGAGGTCTCACCAACCAGGACTGTACATGCCTTGGTGTTTTGATATGACCAGTTTAATAGACTCGATGCTAGCATTTAAAAACAATTAAAATTAGTTATAATCATTCTAATGATGTTGTGGTAAGTTGATTATTACCTGAGATATAAGATAGTGCTGCAGTGAGCACCACCGAAAGCATGATGAAGATGATCGCCGTACATTTCCAGCTGCACTTGGACGCGAGGCCTTTGCGAAAGTGAAAGCGGTTGGCCGGCGGAAAGTGGCTGGAGTTGGGGCGGCGCAGATTGTTGCGGACGGGTAGAACAGGCACCGGCGTGCCGTAGGGCATGCCGGCGGCGACGTTCTTCATGTCCTTGGAGGGGCTGCTGCACGACGAGTTCGACTTGTACTCCATCGGCGGATTCTTCGAGTGATCTGCGCAACAGAGAACCAGCCGGGAGTAAATAACTTTCGCCTAATTGCATTCCGATGCGCATCTTAATTAAAAACAAACTATTCCCGAAGGAGCACCCGGCGAGTTTTCAAAGCCTCCCCGCCCTGCGTGGATGCAAGTGGATGGAAAATTCGCATCTTAGATAGAGAGCGCGCGCGCGCCGAGCGAAATGTTATTAAATTTCTTAGCTTCGGACGCAGACTTGCAAGTGGATGTTTGCTTTGGTCTTGAGACGGAGGCGAACCGAGGCGGGCTTTATCAATCGACGCATCGATTATTTACCCAGCAATAGATGGGCTTATGGACTCATACAACGTATATCAATCCACTTATGATTTCCATTAATAAATAACACACAAACTAAAAAAAAGCCCCAGGAATTGACTCCCTCGAGGCTAAAAACAAGCACGTTATCATGCTCGGACAGAAACTAAACATAAAACTCTAATCAACGTTGAAGCAGTTGTTGAAAGATTGAATTCTGTTGTTTTTTGTGCTTAGTTTTAACGACTTGATTTAAGTCGGAGTCCAATTTCAAGTTGAGTGATTCTGAAAATGTCGAGAGGATGGAATGGTACAAACGACACGATTCCGAATGCGTCTGTCACCTCATTATATCTTCCAGCGAACGCCCTAAAACCGAGCTGTGAGGCGTCCCACGCACATTTCACTTCGAAGCGCAAGGGCCACACAAAACTAAACACAGCGCGAGGTTCATAAACAAGGCGGACCGATGTCGTAATTTATGTCCTCCGCACACGACGATTCGAAAACGAACGATGTTGGGCTTATATGGAAATTTCAATAGAGATTAATCGCGCACTTCAAATGTGAGGTCGGGACACCGCCATGTACCGCCAATAAACTTATTCACAAAAATCTGTGTACAGTTACAACTTCCTTTTAAAAACAAGTCAAATCAAGTAAAATGCAGTGGAGTTTTTTTTCTGTATGAATGAATGAATGAACAAAGCTTAGAAACGAGAACGGATGCAATTGTTATCAACTCATACAGCGCAAAATCACAACACAACACTCTAATATCGTCATCAATAGCCATGTCATGCTATAAGCATCCATTAATATTTATTTTTGTTTTGTTGCTTGTGTGTCTGCGAGTGTTCATAATAACCGACATAAAAATTAAAAACGTTATCTCATCTTCTCCGCTCGTCTCTTCCTCACTATTCGTGCGTTCCAAGTGCACACTTTTCCTCTCCGAAGTAACGTCTCGAGAGCTCGTAAAGTTCGTAAGAGGGTGGGCCTCGTAAAGACTGTAAACTTTGATTGATATATGATAAAGTGCGCTTTAAGGGCCTCGCCATCCTCGGCTCGAGACTGTAAAAATTAATTTTTAAGAGCCCCAAACGCACTTAAACCTACAGCATGCGCCGACGTGGAATGGAATTTTTGGGTAAACAGATATCCGTTTTCGGAAAGCTCGTTCTAGCCGCGCACAAAATCTCCCCGGAGACAAAGATAGAGGATTATAAAAACTTCGCCCAAAGTTAAGGTTTTTGATTTCAACTCCAGATAAAACTCGAGAATATAATAAGTATTTGTTTTATGTCTTGTCGATAATTTTAATTTTTTTCCCAGAACTTGACTCAACTTGAACATATTGAATTATTCCATACCCAACCAAAATGAGAACGCCAGCAGACTACTAATGCGGAAAGCGGTTAGATAAAGTTGAGCAACTCGACGACACCTACGCATCCGAAATTAATTATATGTAACGGATGTTTACTCATTGCCCGTTCCGAGAATTAAACTAAACTACGCATTTGTTATATAAATGCACGCTTTTGATTTTCATCATGTTCACAATTTGTAACACGCGAAAAAAAGCCTCCACGTAATTATGACTTTTGTTCGTGCGAGTTGCTGAGTTGATTTGACGTGCAGAGATTTTTTCTGTGTGTCCGGCTCGCTGGCTGTCTGTTGGCGAGCAAACTATTAAATTAAAATCCCTCCGAAGGGTAAACAGCGTCAGCTGGAACGCGGTGCATCGGCACTGTTTGCCTTTCCTCTCTGCGGATGATGCGTGCGCGATGGCCGGCGAGCAATCACGACCTGCCCGCCAACTGGGCAGGTAAAACACAGAAATGAGTAAATTATGTAAGTGCCATAATTACCGAACCTCGTTTGCAGTCACAAGCGTGTGGATTGCACACAAACACACCGAAATCATACAGAAAATCAGCAAGAAGAAGTAATTTTGTACTTTGTAAGGAATTTCGCAACTCGCATGCAAAATCCACCAATAATTCTCGAGAAAAACTCATTGCAAGCTACTTTAAATTACACCATACCAATGTAATATTTTCCAAGAGATAATTTAATTCATCAAAACGAAACTAGTTTTAATGGTTGAATATAAATCCAACAGATGGCGCAGCAATTCAGTTTTACACTTTATATTCCAGTCCCCTTCGTCTTCTTGATACATTCGATTCGTGTTAGGCTTTTGAAAGCAGTAAAAGCTTGTGTCACTACTCCTCGAGTGTGTGTGTAAACTTATCAAGGCGGACGGAACACAAAAGCTCATTTATTTAATTTATTAGCATATCTCCGCAACCGCGCGCCGAGCGTCTCTAATTATAATCGTTATTTCCTTTATTTGTTCGCTATAATACGCATTAAATCAACATCGCCTTCGATAATGAGTTGAATTATGATCATAATAAATAACTGCAATTAACACTATCGTGACGGGGCGCATCAGCGCAAGAATATGAAAATAAAAAAGAGATACTAATTGGCTCCCAAGTCTCCAAGGGAGTTCAAAAGTAATAGTTAACTCTTGACCAGATGGTTAACAACAACAAGTTCATGGACTTTTAAAACAGATATCTGATTTTTGGTTTGGTTTGGTTTGGAAAGTTGCGCTTCTGTTTCTGATTGTGCTCGTGAATTTTGTTAAGTTGCGACGTGAACAAGCGCATTATTTCCTCTTTGGGCAGGCGGTAGATATCGTGGATGTGCGCGCATTGAATGGCCCCCTAAATGACCCTAAATTAGAGAGCGTAATGTATCGAGAATTCGATTCCGATTGCGCTGCAAAGTCCGGCATGTTCATGCGCGTCGCTGCCGCCCGTGATTCGGTTGATTTAGTCGTCGCTAGTCGAGGGCCGGTTAAAAGGGAGCCTCGGGCTTCGTTATATTGATCTCAATTATCGTAATAACCGATGTTATTACGATGTAATTTGCGTTAACAAAACTCTCTAACGCCACAATTACAAAATCCACTATTTCCAGAAATAAATAAATTTAATTCATTTTATTTTTAGATTTTAATCCAATCAATAAGTCCAAATTCGGAAAATTTCAAATCAAATCAAATCCAATCTAAGTGTACTTATAATGTACGAGTATAAATCCGATATGTAATTTGATTTATGATTGAAATTGCCTGCCGATTGAGCCACCCATTATGGTCCACCTTAGCGTTATGCGTGAAACTTGTTTGAGTTATTGAATACTCCTCGAGTGTTGAAAGACGTTCGGGGTCCACTCTCGGATTCACTCTCTCGCCGCTCATATCGACATATAAAGCACGATAATAAATGTGTCGGCACCATTATCCGCGCATGTGAGGTAAGTACCCTACGGTAGAGATGAAGGTATGCGCTTCATACTTGTATTCATCTCATTTGGTGCTCTTTGGCGTCCCAACAAGCGTTTGTTTGGTTTTTCAATGCAGAGGGTCTCTCTTTACAGGGACGACCTGCTGTGGCAACCCAAGCAAAAGCCTAAGCTGAGAAATAACACGAACATATGGCGCGTTCCGAGATTAAAAATGCTTCCTGCGCCTACTGCTACATAATGATCAGATTCGAACATGTTCCAACTATGGTAGTTGCTAAGTCTGGCTGGAAAATAGCTTTAGTAGTTATGATCGGTAAAGGTCTATTGATGATAAATCGATTTTGGGCTTTGATTTTTTCGAGCTTTTAAGCACGCTGCTCGGGTATTCGGTGATCATCTGTTCGAGGAATTTCCAACGTCGAGTACCTGATGGTATGGCATCTTTTGTGCAGACGGTGGAGGAAAAAACAGGCAGTTAAGAGGGATGCTTAACGCGAGAATCAAGTAGGGCAACAATTTAGCGATGGTTTCTAAGCGGGGGCTTTGAGTGGTAGCTGCCAGTCCTCTTAAATCATGCTTCTGTTGTTCGTAATTCTGCCAAGTTTTGAACTCTTTTGACAATGGGTGTCACATATTAAATTAAGTATCTTTGAGCCAAAAATAACAGCATAAAACACACACAAAAAAGATTTTTAAAAATTCGGAATTTTGCTTACATTGTATGTGCTCGTACATATTCTCATGTTGCACATTGCTGCTGTAATAATTCTCCTCGCAATTGCCATTGTAAAATGCCATGATTGGTCATTAATCCAAAATTTGTTGGTTTTCACCACATTTGCACCAAAAAAATAATAATTTTGTTTCCACCAACGCCACTTTATTTATTTAACGCAGCACCAAAAATTCAATTGCTCACAAACAAATTAAAATTGAAACCAAAACGAAAAACGCGGCGGTTACATCCCGGGCGCTTTGCACTGAGCGGAAAAGGTTTATCACGTTTCGCGTGTCATCGCGATGTGGAGTCGAGAGAGAATTCTCGCATCGATCGCTGACTGCGCTACTACTCGAAAAGACGCACGCGTCGTCGTGCTGCTGGCGCGGATGGCGAACGCTGACTGAAGAGCCGTACGGGCCGCCGGACGCCAACGCTATCGTATCGAATGCGGCAGATAGCAAGCAGACGAAGAAGGAATGAATTTTCGGGCTGCGAGGGAGAGTACGAGTGCTTGCACACGCGGCGCGCGAAGAAAGGGAACGCAACGACGAGGACGGAAAGTGAAACAACCGAGAATTGTAAATCCACCCGCACACAAGCCTGCGCACAGCGAGAGTGACTGCAGGAGGACTAAAGACTCAAACCGTCGAATGACGACTACTGACAGAAGAAGTCTAGACATCATACATGTTTCAGAATTTGAAGCAAAATAAATCTAGCAATTAATTTACTAATTCGCAGAAAAAACTTTGATTTCAAGTCAAGTTTGAGTTGTTTTTGACTTACTTAATGTTCCTGTGGGTATGTACACGTTGCCGGACGGCGTCCGGACCAGGCAGGAGGGCTCAAAGTCTTGACTAGGGTCGACGGGCGGCGCGCTCGCCAACCGGCCGTTGAGACGACTCATTGTGGGGTTGCGCGGCGGCACATCTGGTGGCCGAGTGGCGCTATCAAGCAAACAACCTGCAACAAATATCAAAAATCCTCAGATTTAGATTTTCCGAAATAAAAAAAATCATTATTCAAACCGAAAAAAAAAATTCATTCCAACTAAAAGTGTTGTCGCTCATTAAAATAAAACAAAATAATGAACCGTATGGTGTGCGCGAGTAGGTTCTTTATGATCTGTGCTCGAACTCGAAAGCCCAGCAGAAAAGTTCGTAGGCAGTGGAAGAGAACAAAGAACTCGCCGATCGGGTTTACCTGGCGAGCGCCTCGCATGCAATATGGGCACAACCGGAACAAATCCGCCCGTAATTTTTTATCGTGCGCGCGATGCGCGTTCACAATCATCGATAATGATAGGGTTCGGGACGATAGGCGTTTACGGACTCCCAACCCAACCCAACCATGTGTAAGTTCTTCAACAGCAACGTATTTCAGAAAATATTGTGTTACCAGACTCGGCACACAAAAAAAGGACGCGGGATGAGGAAAAAAAAACTTGCTAATGAAGTTTTGTTAAAAGTTAATATAATTAAGTACCTTGCTATTAGTCATCGCACAAAGCCTAATAAAAAAGGTAAAAATGTTGAATTGAAAATAAAATATTGAAGAAAAACGAACCTAAAGAGCTTTTTTTTTCGCTAAGTCTATGCGAAATGTTATGTTGAGTTTTCGGGTGTTGTTTTATCGTGCTCGAAAGTTGGTTGGTGAGAGGTGTTTTTTTTTCAGCGTTTTCCGATGTTCATTGTTCGATTTCGGTTCGATACGGATGTTCTCTCGGCCTAACCCTCTTAATGGCTTAATGATAGGGTTGAGCGATTTCGGTGCGCGGTGCTCGCGCCCCGTTGGCCACATGTTCGGACTAATTACATTATTTTTTGCGCCACGGCAAACCGAACGTTCGCCGATTACGCGGAGTTGATTCCGTCGAGGGAGCGCAATTTCGACGCTTGAACAATGTTTGCGAACAATCCTAATAAAATAAAAACTTTCACTTCAACTTCACAGCGGCGGCGAGTTGAAATTTTCAATATTTCAATCAATATTTTCAAGAATTAGATTTTTGGCGCGCTCCGGAACTGTTTGCTGATCTGCTGGAATATTAAAGGGTTTTGTGTTCGCTGGTGGATTTTGTGTGAAGCTTTTTCGGTTGTAGGCAATTAGAATTTTAAGTATCGGGGAGTTTTGTAGGTTTTCGTACTCGTCGAATTTTAATTTTAGAGGCGCTCATAAACAAGACGCTCGCGTAAAGTCTTTTTCGGCTGAGTGGCGGAGCTTGGAGGGGTCGCAGGCGCGAAGGGATCGATGGTGCGCCCAGCAAGCGGAAGCGGAAATTGGAAATTTCACCCTGAGACGGCCGCCGAAAGCTGGCAGCGCTACTTCCACTCTCCAAACCACACAAAAAAGAACTTAATGAAGAATAAGTAACCAAAAAATAAAATAGTTTCACTTTACAAATAGACAACATTTTTAAAAGAGCTCATTTCCTAAAGGAGTATTTTACATATTCAGAAATTTAATGAGTTTATTAATGTATAAATATATTTATAGCACTATTTAGTGTATATTCGGTCATTCGGTCGAGCATGTCAAATGAGCTTTACAGCGTTGCGAGCTTTCGAGATGCAGGCACAGGACGAAACAAACGCGCCGCTCGCGGAGGACGCGACACGGGCACTGAACTTTCCGGCTGTCATAGCGATTAAGCAAGAGATTACCCGGTGAGACGGATAATCAGATTAACGACGAGCTTTTTGTGTGCCGCGTTTGTTAAAAACATTAAAACTTTCGAAACTACACACATCGGCGCTAAAAGACATCAAATCTGTCTAATCATCAGCCTCGCCATGTTTGTCAACTGTCAAAACAGAAAATTTCCACACAAAAAATAATGATTAATACGAGTATATGATGAATACCAAATTGAAACTTTGAATATTTGAATAAAATGTTTTGATGAACATCGCTGTGCGTATCAATATCACTGGCAAACAATGCTGCACATTGCATCGTTTCGTGGCTTCTTCGCGGCTTCCACGTATAATAACTCATAAGAATATTGCGATTTTATCTAGCGAACGAGCTATTTGTTCATGACGCTCACTGCTCACTGCTCGCCTCGGTAAATAAGCGTATGATAAATTTACTGATATCATTGGCGCCGTTAGACAATTTTACAATTTCAATGTTTCACGGAGCGAACAAATCTTAACGGCCCACGATGTAAAACAGAACAATACGTGTGGAATTATCTTTACATTAAATTGCAGTGAGCGAAAGTGGGCGGCGGAATATTCGATAAAAAAAAAACTTATGACAGGAAATATTGATTGACGAGCACGAGCAAATAAAACCGGAAAATCGTAGGTGTCGAACGCGTCACAAATTGAGTTTACAACAGCGTTACAAAGTTACGAGTCGAATAAAAATTACATTTCGATACTTTTATTGCCATTAATATAGGGTTATTATTGATTATAATCACTTTGCAAGTTGCATTTGCGATGGTATGACTTTATTTTTCGCGTTTTCATTGCGCTCCCAAGTCGTTTGCGTGCACATTTATATTTATAACTTTTGTTTACTCGACCGAGTATTGTAAAGTATAGGAATTGTTGTTCTCTCGCTGGTCGACGGAACGACGTCGGTAGTCCAAAGTGTTCAAATAATTTATGAATAATTCATACATGCATAATGCAAGTTTGAGAATTACCGGTCGTTGAGAACTTCGCCATGCCGCCGAAAACGCGCAATCGCTGTGTTTATTTGCTTATGCATTACTCTCTTTAAACAAATAAACAAACACATATTGAAAATCACGACACAAAATCTTCGGTTATAGGAAAAAGAAGCGCATGAGTAATATCCCGTTTACAACTTGCGAGCGCCATCGTACAGACAATGGAATTTTAATATGCAATTGAGTCATAAATTTTTACGGCCCTTGAAGGCAATTAAATTCGGTTTTCTTTTTCTCCCGGCTTGTAAAACCCTGCGATTTGAGCTTTTAAAATGCAGCGCATGTCATTTTCATGCAATGCTCATGTTTATAGGTTATTGTACTCGATGTGTACTCATTGTGTGGCATTCTATAGTTTATTGTCTAATTTAGTCAAGAACTCAAGTAGTTCGGAGGGTTTTCGGGCTAAAATCCATGGGTTAATGGATTTGGCTGTCACATGTTGCAGCATGAGGCGTTTTGACGAAGTGCGATTTGATGCGTTGCAGATGCTTCTTTGAAATTTTCAGAAAGATAAGAAAAACATACGACAACGCAGTCTAGACTTTACTAGTACTATAGAGAAGAAAAACAAAATTCTACAGAGTGCTACCAAGAAAAAAATTGTTTCAAGAAAAAAAAACATACAATGTATTCTAAAGGGGGTTGCTCGAGGGTGGAAACACTTAGTATGCTGGGCACGATATTTGAACCATTTGTATTTGGTTATGCAAGAGATTAGCCGGCTCTATATGCGAATGTTTACATAGGACAGACCCGAAACCCTAGTACACGCCAGTACAGACTCGTTGTCTCCCTAAAAGTTCTATTCTGCGCTAGAGATGATGATGGCACTCTGTGAGTGGTGAAGGACCTCCATGTAGTCCTCAAATATTTTAACTTTTAAGCAAAGCTAAAGGCGCATGTCGTCCGTGCTGACATTGTCACAACACGTCGATTTGTCTCTCCGGAGACACAACGGACGTGCATGAAAATAAAAACCCAGCAAAAACACAAGCGCAAATGGCGAACGGATATAATCCGGGTTAGATAAATATTTTCACGCGCGCACAGAGAAATATTTGCACAAATGTTGCCGAATTAACTCCGGCAATGAAACAAAGTGTTACAAATTTCTCAACGGGTGAGAGTCTTTTGTGCGAGTCTTTAAAATTTCACACTTTGTTGCAAAGTGCGCGGACGCAAGAAAAAATGCGAAGCGCGCGAGACACGCGCGAAATGCGAAAAATGCAAACAATCGCAAGTTGGTCATTAAGGGTGGCGCGTTGCCGTTGTTGTTTTGCGTTTTTCTTTTGTTTGTGCGTCGGTTCCGCACGCATTTGCGTACTGACGGCGGCGAGCGTGCGAAATCGGCGTTTTATTACGCGACGACCGTAAACATGTCGTCGTCATTATGCGCACATGTGAGCGGGCGCCGAATGAGACGCGCTTTGAGCGCGCCAGGCTCAAAAGAAACGCGCGTTACGCTTCGCTCCGATAATGAGCTGCAGCCCGGTCTTACCGGGAATTATTTACACAGCCCGAGGAGAACAAGCGAACGCGAAAAATGCGGAATTTATTCAACGAAAATGACATTTTTCTTCAGTAGTTACTTTGTAGTCGAAAATATCACAAAGAAAATTTTCAAACTCATATTACAACCAAACGGTAAGTCACACAAACATCAAATTCGCTTTATTTTATAGAGAATTTATTAAACTTTCACTAGTAATAAAAATATACTCATAATATTTATTTAAACTTATTCAAAAAGCCAAATTAGTAAATAATTTCACAAAAAAATGATAATTTGTTTAAAAAATTAATAACAACTAAAATATAAACGTCATGTTACCAAATTTAGTATCAACATATAGATGAATAATTAAACTAAAGTATTATAAAATTTCATCATTATCGAATAATTAGTGTGAGCGCTACAGGCCCCCAAAGTTGGGTTAATGTCTTTCCTGAACACAAAAATTTTAAAGTCCATTTTAAGCTAAAAGTTAAAGATTAAAACCTCGCTCTCTTGCTTATTCAACTTCTAAAAATACATTTTTGCATTCCGCACACAAACTTTTATTGTACCTGCCCGGCCCGGCTGGGCGTTTCTTTTTTATTTATACCCTGCTTCGGTACATCGCATTAGCAGCGACATTAAAAGCCCTAACTATATTTAGGCATCGCGCAGCGCTCGCGGACGCGAAATTTTAATATAATAATAAAACAGTTTTATCGCTAAAATGAGCGGCAAACACGGTTCGTTCGCCTTACCTACCCCGGCACACTGACGCAC